TGGTGTTAATGAACAAAGTTTCATTTATTTTATTTTTAAAGGTGTGTTGGAAGGGGGAGAAGGGAGTTGGTAACTGGAGAGGATAGTCAACATTAACTGGGTAAAGAAATGGGGGCAGGTTCAGCTTCTTTTTAAACAAACTTAATAGTCACAGGTTACCCTGCTCACTCGGGAACCTAGCTTTCAAAGCTTCCCGGATGCACAGCGCATCCCACCGGGCTCTTCTAATCGCCCGGGTGTCTGGTTGGGCGTAATCAGCAGCCAGGCGATTTGCCTCAACCTCCCACCCCGAAATAAAGGTCTCCCCCTTGATCTCACAGAGATTGTGGAGCACACAGCAAGCTGCAATAACAATCGGGATATTGGTTTCGCTGAGATCAGAGCGAGTCAGTAAACTTCTCCATCTCGCCTTCAGACGTCCAAAAGCACACTCCACCATCATTCTGCACTTGCTCAGCTGGTAGTTGAAGAGTTCTTTTTCAGTGTCCAGGGCACCTGTATAGGGCTTCATAAGCCAGGGCATTAGCAGGTATGCTGGGTCCCCGAGGATGACTATAGGCATCTCCACATCCCCAACAGTTATTTTATGGTCCGGGAAGTAAATAGCTTCCTGCAGCCGTCTAAACAGACCAGAGTTCCTGAAAACGCGAGCGTCATGAACCTTGCCCGACCATCCGACGTTGATGTTGGTAAAACGTCCCCTATGGTCCACCAGTGCTTGCAGCACCATTGAAAACTAGCTCTTTCGGTTAATGTACTGGCTGGTCTGGTGGTCCGGTCCCAGGATAGGGATGTGAGTTCCATCTATAGCCCCACCGCAGTTTGGGAATCCCATCGCAGCGAAGCCATCTATGATCACCTGCACATTTCCCAGGGTCACTACCTTTGAGAGCAGTATCTCAACGATTGCGTTGGCTACTTGCATCACAGCAACCCCCACGGTAGATTTGCCCATTCCAAATTGATTGGCGACTGACCGGTAGCTGTCTGGCGTTGCAAGCTTCAAGAGGGCTATGGCCACTCGCTTCTGGACAGTCAGGGCTGCTCGCATCCGGGTGTCCTTGTGCTTCAGGGCAGGGGACAGCAACTCACAAAGTTCCAGGAAAGTTCCCTTACGCATCCGAAAGTTTCGCAGCCACTGTGATTCATCCCAGACCTGCAGCACTATCTGGTCCCACCAGTCCGTGCTTGTTTCCCGGGCCCAGAATCGCCGTTCCACAGCATCAACATGACCCATTGCCACCATGATGTCCACGGCGCAGGGTCCCGTGCTTTGTGAGAGGTCTGTGCTCCTCTCAGACTTAATGTCCTCACCGCGCTGCCGTAGCCTCCTTGCCCAATTTCTCAGCATCTGCCTCTGAAAAAGGTGCATGATAAGGCGCGAGGTGCTGACAACGGCCATAACTGCAGCGATGATCGCAGCGGTCTCCATGCTCGCAGTGCTGTGGCGTCCGCGCTGTCAATCACCAGAAAAGTGCGCGAACTGATTGCCCGCCGGCGCTTTCACGGAGGGAGGGCGAGAGTGAAGGTTGAATGACGACAGTTACCCAAAACTACCCTCGACCCATTTTTTGCCCCAACAGGCATTCGGGGCTCGACCCAGAATTCCAATGGGCAACGGGGACTGCGGGAACTGTGGGATAGCTACCCACAGTGCACCGCTTCCAATGTCAACGCTTGCCCCGTTAGTGTGGACTCACAAAGTCGAATTACTGTCCTTAGTGTGGATACACACGTTCGACTTTGTAATATCGGTTCCACAAATTCGCTTTAAGTAAAATCGAACTACTCTCGTAGTGTAGACATACCCCTAGATTCTATTCCTGGCTCTACTAAAAAGACTTCTTGTATGACCTTGTGCAAGTCACTTGACCTCTCTGTAACTCAGTCTCTCCATTTGTAAAATGGGGAAAATATTCATTAATCCATTTGTACAAATTAATTCATTAATACTTGAAAATATTAATACTTTGAGATCCTTAATTGGAAAACACTATGGAAGTGAACAGTATTAACCAGCATTTAATATATGTACCTCGTATTAAAAAAAAGATGATAAAAATATATATCAAGTTTAAGATGCACAAACATTTCAAGGAAAGAAATACTCACTTTTTGCATCTATGAGCCTTTCTCGTGGTGCAGTATCAGAAGAAGAGAGCTGCTCCTTAACTTTCGCAATATCCTTAGGATGAAGGTAGTCAAACAAACTCTGACCAATCAGATCATTCTGTAGATATGGAATATTAAACCAGAAATTAAAAATAAACACATATGTTAAAATTTGGGAACTATTGCATAAATTTTAAAGAGTCACTTAGTTTGTCAGTCTACGATAGCCTGTTCAGTCTATTGCAGTCAAAGTTTGGGCCTCTTTTTTCCCCTGAAAAGGTTTATTCCCAATTATATATCAAATATTCATTGTAAAATCACAACTAAAACAATCATGTCTCCCAAAGCTTTTAGAATATGTACCCTGAATGAAAGGCTGGCCAAAAGAATATTTTTTTTAATTTAGTTTTGAAGTTCATAGAATTTTAATGATGGAGAAAAGGGTACAGAAAATTAAGGAAATGGTAGTACAAGAGTAGTACAAACAAGAGGTTTGGTAAAAGTCAAGCCTTGTGTTAAGTGTACATTAAACCTGACTTTGGTATGATTATGCTGATTATTTTTCAATATAGCTTGTCCTGCTAGATGGTAGCATAAGAGTAATTTCTACTTTGCTCAGATTCCTCATCTTGTCAAATCTCACCCATATTTAAATCATTCTCCCTTACACTGCTCCTGTGAACATCTACTTATATAATACTGGCATTTTCCCCCATATCCAGCTACTATCAACTCAAATGCATTTTGATTTGTTGGTAAACTGATTTAAATGCAACATTGTTTACATAGAGGGTTCCTGTTGCCTGATGGCAAAAGTTGACTCTCAGTACAAACCCTATGTGACTTTATTTAATTAAGAAGAAGGGAAAGGCAATCAAGTTAGATAAAACAGGAACTAAATGGAAACATTTTCCAGAACAAGAGTAAAATTTTCAAAAGTGTCCAACTGACGTAAGAGCCTAGGTACCACTTTCAAAATTTACCTACGAGCCTAAGTCATTTAGGCACTTTTGATAATGTTATCCCAAACCTTTTTAGAGGTGAAACAAAACAAAAACAATAGTTTTGTGAGTGGTGAAATAGAGTAGATATTCCTCTTCCTGGTGCAGCTGAAACCAGAAGCAGTATTACCAAAAGAAGTTTTTTTCCAATCCAGCAAAAAACAGAAATTTTTGTAAATCTTGCAAATTAGCATGTTTTTGAAATAATTCTAGACTCACACATAGACATTTCAGATGAATACTCCAAAGTTTAGATGTGTATACAAACAAAACCTTTCAATCTCCTGAGGTCTGTCCATTATTAGTTCCAAAGGTACAGAACAATACCTGACTGTAGTTGAGGATCTTGAAGACAGATTCTGAAACAAACAATATCTTCCCTCTGTCACAGCCCACAACAAAAAGAAATCCATCTGCTGCCTAATAAGGAAAGATATTTGTATTATTTTAAAAAGACAATTACATTTTTTAAGTATTTAGGTACCATTGTTACACAGTAGGATTTCTATATTAACATTAATATTGTTACATCTATAGAAATAATTGAATTAGCAAAGTATGAAATTATGATAAAAGCTTAATCTTTTTGCACTTGGAATTAGATTTTTTTGGCACTACTTTCCTTAATAATGACAAGAATTTAAAGAATTTTAGTATAGTAAAAGCTCACATCTTCTCATGTAATATTATAGTTGTACACTAAGCAATTCTTAAATTAAAATTAAAAAAATCAATAACTAATCTTCTTGTGTTTGACCTATGTTTATTTCATTTTAAATTCATTTGACTTCTTTTGGAAACTAAGTATGGCCCGGATCTTGCAGACATTTCTATGCATGTGAGTAGTTCCACTTAATTCAAGGGGCCTCATGTACATGAGCATTTGTGGGGATCAGGCCCTAACTTTGTAAATTCATATAAATCACAGAACCGTTTAAATAACTCAATCCTGCATGTACTCTATTTGGTCATTTAAATGAGATTTGTGAAGCACTGCAAGCCTATTGAATCAATTTTTAAGTCAGTGCTTAAGTATTGGAACAAAAAGGCTATAGCTTATGTTTTTAGAGTGCTGATAAAATATATAGATTTTATTTTTACAATCAGTAGAAATACACCTATATGTTGTTTCCTCACCAATCTGAGTTATGACTTTTATGCATCAACTGATTATACACTGAAAATTGTATCAAATGATCGGGGGGGGGGGAGGGGTGTAAAAAAGGCCATGAGCCAATAAGGAATGAGCTGAAAACAATGGTGTTCATTTATTTACTTCTAACTTAATTAACCCAACAACTGAAAATCCTAACGACTAGATGGTAGGGTGCTTTTATGTTAAAATGCTTTTATGTGAAAATATTTTGAACTGGCCACTTATTTTTTGGTCCCTCGATTTTTAGGTGCCCAGCTTGATAACTGTGGCTTGATTTTCAGGTGTTGAGCATCCTCTCAAATTCCACTGACTTCGAAGTGGAGTTGAAGGAGTTCATCATCTTTGAAAATCAAGACAGTCTATCTCAAGTTGCACCATGGGTCTGACTAAAGACATAATTATTGGGGTCTTTCCCTTCATCAGGATTAAATTCGTAAATTTTTTTACAAACAAAGTTTTAAATTTAGCATTTTTAAGTTGAAACATACCCTTAGAATAAGATGTTTTAATTCATCATCTGACAGAAAAGCAGGTTTGTAGTTTGCTTCTGTATATGGGTTTGTGGCACCTTCAAGAAAAAAAAAGAGCGTGACTACCCCATGTAAATAAACTTAATATACATCCATCTATTATATATAAATATACTCTTGTTTACAAACACTTTTTCTTCCATGCCTTTTGATACTCCCTCATGTTTTTTTCCAGCTGTGTTCTAATTGCAAGTATTCTTTACACAAGTGGAACACAGCTGAAGGGAACCCAGGAAAGAACGAACACTGGCTGGAAAGTACACACTGAAGACAAGAACAGGCAGTAATTCCAAACGTTAATAACCCTTTAAGGCAGGGTTTCTCAAACTTCAGTGCACCGCGACCCCCTTCTGACAACAAAAATTACTATACAACCCCAAGTGGGGACTGAGCTTGCCCGAGCCCGGCTGCTCCAGTTGGGTTGGCAGGGGGGCAGAGAGGTGGAGGAAAGAGGCAAAGCTGAAACCCAAGGGCTTCAGCTCCAGGAAAGAGGCCTGTAACATGAGCCCCGCTGCCCAGGGCTGAAACCATTGGGCTTCGGCTTTGGTCCCAGGCAGTTGGGCTTGGGCTTCAGCTTCGGCCCTGGGTAGTGGGGTTTGGGCTTTGGCCAAGGGTCCCAGCAAGTCTAAGCCAGCCACTTTGGGGTCCCGATTCACAGTTTGAGATCCGCTGCTTTAAGGAATAAGAATATTCATCTTCACGCAAACGTGTTTTCCGAATGTTGTGCTGTGCCCTGTCCAAGTGTGCGCTCCACAACAGAACAAAAACAGACATTATTAAAGGGACTGATGTTTTCCATCTTTAAATAATTTCTTGAATGTAGACTCTAATCAACAGTGGCTGAAAGTCATTATTATCTGATGGCTACTCAGGGCCTTTGTGAAATGAACTGGTGATCTCCATCCAATTCTTACTGTTCATGTCTCAGCAGAGGCCAAGAATTTGCATAAGAATTGAGAATGAACTACCATTCACTTCTACAGGTGAGGCAGCTTCCAATGCTGTCATGCCACCCAGGTTGTACCAATTCTAGAGTAATTCTTCTGACGTTATCTCCTTTGAAAAGCAATAAATTGAGTTAAATTGGTAATGAGGTTGCTGATGGAAGATTATAGCCTTATCAATTAAAAGTAGCACAGGAAATTAGGTTCTTTAACAGGGTGAGAGACAACAAATGTAATATAAGATGTAATGCTTGATAATTCACAAGACAGAAAAAAAATGAATGCCTCCTGGTCCTCCCCTGAGCCACCTTCCCACCTCAACTCCTGACAATTATGAAAGTAACGTGCATAATTATGGCACTATATATATTTATTTAGATTGCAGCTATTTAAATATATATATATATATATATATATATATATATATATATACACACACA